AGCAGTGGGCAAAGGAATAAGCCAATAATCACACACCTTCAGTTTTCACAGCAAAGTTCATGGTGGTTAATATTATGGCATGTTGAAAAATATTATATCCAGCTTACAGGGATAAGCAGGTGTGTCTGATTAGAAATGCAGACAGACCTGAGACAGTGGTAACTCCAAAGAGACTGAAGGGATCAATGATATTCCCATGGCCATTACGCTGCTGGGAAATTGTTCTTGCTACAAGCAGTTTGCAGTTTGCTTAAAAAAGAAGGCAGGGAAGACTGTGCTTAGATTCTTGAGTTCACAGACTGCTGACACCCGAGACCAAAGACCAAACTGTTGTGGACAATAGTCTGCAAGTGGGCAAAAGTTCAACAGCAAGGTCAAGGCCCGCATGTAGAGGTCTGCAGTTGGGCAATGATTCAGGGTCATAGAATTACATGCTTTACAAACACATACAATGGACTTGTATTGTTTTTCAACTTGTCAATGGCATTCTAGAGCAAAATTTCAAAAGATTTTAGTTATGGCATCAAAGAATAATAACACTAAATCCATAGAATCTATATTTATTTATCCTTAAATGTAAACTGTTTGCTGTTAGAAATAAGGGAAGGGATCATTTAGTAACAGAAAAGTAAACAATGGTTTTGTCATGAATTTTTATGAAATCACAATAGCTAAAAATAGGGGCAGGCACTGTGACTCAGGTGATTAGTTGAAGATCCCATGCCAGACAGCCTGGTTTGAGTCACGGATACTCTCCTTCAGATCCTGACTTCCTGATGATTCACTTTAGATGCAGCAGATTAAGGCTCAAGTACTTGAGTCTCTTGTACCAATGGGATAGACCTGGATAGAGAGCCACATTCCTGGCTTCAGCCTGGCTCAGCCCCAGCTTTTGGGAGCAACTGGGGAGTAAATAGCAAATGAAGAATATCTACACCTCTGCCTTTCAACTGAATTAATACTTAAACATAATTCAACATGCTACTTGAATAACATTTCAGATAATGACATACTGATAATTTTTCCATATTCTGTTTTGCTAAAAATCTAAGCTTTCACATATAACTCAGGCTTCGTTAAAATTGAACACATATCGGGCTCGGCGCAGTGGAGCAGTGGTTAAGGTCCTCGCCTTGCACGCCCGGGATCCCATATGGGCGCCGGTTCTATCCCTTCCAGCTCCCTGCCTGTGGCCCGGGAAAGCAGTGGAGGACAGCCCAAAGCTTTGGGACCCTGCATCCGCGTGGGAGACCCGGAAGAGGCTCCTGGCTTCAGCATCGGCATAGCATCGGCCGTTGTACTCACTTGGGGAGTGAATCATCGGACGGAAGATCTTCCTCTCTGTCTCTCCTCTCTGTATATCTGCCTTTCCAATAAAAAAATAAATAAATAAATAATAATAAAAATAAATCTTTAAAAAAATTTAACACATATCTTTCATGATTAACTGATGCATCAAAGCAGCACAAAATATGTTTGAAGACATGAAAATCATATTAACATAAATTAAAATGGCATATAAAAGTAAAAATAAATTGCAATAACATTTGACTAACATGGAAAGCAAATAATTACATATGACTTCATATTTTGGATGATTCTATTTTTAAATTCTATGTACCCTCATTTTCAAAACCTTAAAACATTGTCAAATAGAGTAACAAAAAAATGTATTAGGGACAATGTAGTGGTGCATCGCGCTAACCCTCTGCCTATAATGCTGACATCCCATATGAGAGGGGGTTTGATTCCTGGCTGCTCCATTTCAAGTCCAGCTCCCTGCTGATGGCCTGAGAAAGCGTTGGAATGGGTTTTGCCCTTGGGCTCCTGACCCCACTTGGGATTCCTAGAGGAAGCACTTGGCTCTCAACTTCAGACTGGCACAGCTCTGGCCATAGCAGCCATTTGGGGAGTGAACTACAGATGGAGTATATTTCTTGTGAAAACTTGCATATGTATATGTATGCATGCATGGGTCTATCTCTTTGTGTAACTCTGACTTTCAAGTAAAATAAATAAATATTTTTTTTAAAAAAGGAGAATTATAAAACCAAAGTGTGAGAGTACGCATTTTTCATAGCAGGTAAAAGTCTGCATCCTTGTGCCTGGCATTGATTCTCAACTCTAGCTCCTGACTTGACCGTCCTCCTTATGCAGATCCTGAGAAGCAGTGGTGAAGGTTCAGGTAAATTCCTTGCTTCAGATTGTGCTCCCTGTCCCACCCCATCACACCTTCCACAAGCTGCTGGGGACCCTTGGGGAGTAAACCAACCATAAAACTACAACTCTGACTCTTTGTTTCTCTGTTTTTGTAAGAAGTAAATTTAAAAATCCAGATTATAAAATAAGCATAATCAGATTCAACTGCAAAAGAAGTGCATGTTAGGTGCATTCATGTTCTTGCCATAAATGTGAACTAAACTCCAATTTTATAAGTCAGTGTGTAACCACTTAATTCTTTAAAACTTAGCTATTATAACTACTAATCTATAACTTAAATCACATAAAATATGATTGATTATATTTACAATGATGAGCTAATATTGGAGAGATGCATGAGTGACATGTCAATTGGTCCCCACAGAGATAATAGGTAAATTATCAAGGATATGCAGGATATACTAGATGATTATATTAGAAAAATCAACTTAATGGAAAATTCTATGGCAAGTTTCCACTAAACGCTCTATGGATTGGAGCTGCTTTCAGCATTTACTTAGTGTTAAAAATGAGAGAATGCAAGAGGCCCATAAAAGAGGGAAATTGCAAAAGTTGAGACAGGAAGTGATTAAGCTAAAAATGAGGATTTTAATAGAGCTAAGTTCATGATAAGGGTGATTTCTGTGATGACTCTGTTCCGGTGTATTTATAATTATAGACTTACACAGAGAATAGTAACTCTAAGGTTCCAGCAATGGGCACAGATTAGAATTACAGTTATTTCATTGTCTGTTTTGCTGTGATGGATCCCAATGTTTAAGACAAAACAAGGGGTACTTACAAAACTTGAGGAATCATGAATGTATATGACAAGGAAAATTTGAGTTTTAATTTAAAGTATAGAAGGTAAAATGGGCTTTTTAAATTCATGACACCATGTTTGATTAAGATTCATTTTGTCAAATAGGGAAAGTCTTCACTGCTTTATCCAATGTGTGGCAGGCATGGAGTGCTTCCTAAGCGAACAGCTTCACAGAAATTCCAGGACGATATAAAGCTTTCTGCCAAAGATGATCTTTGATGTTTACAATGCAAGGACACATCCAGGCTGGCTAGCAACTCAAACTTTCTATAGTCTCCCTCAACAAAATCACCTGATCTGCACATTGAACCTACAATATCCAGACAAGATCTGAGAACTAAAATTCGTTTGTGTGCAGCTCTGAGGTCTAACAGAGAAACAAGAAATTCTCATAGGAGTCACAAGAGAGAAAAAGACATAGTAAGAAAACTCTCTGATGTTTTTGACTGAAAACTTAATACCTGGATGAAATTACCAAGAAAACGGAAAGGAGTAGAATCAATATATTACAGGGCTTTGGTAAATTAAAGAGAAATAATTAAAAATAAGTCATTTGCATTTCAATAGATACATACTCAAGCATAAGGATGTATTATTATTTCATTAAGTCAGCTTATGCCTAAACATGCAATAACCATGAATCAAAAAATTAAACACACATGATGCTATTGCTGTGTTTTTTGCCTATGTGACTCAAATATATAAGTGATATTGTCATAGGTAATATGAAATTATAAGTAATTCTGAAAATTCCATACAAAATGAAAAATAATCTTTCCTCAATTTAAACTGGTTATATTTCCAAAAAGGCTACTATATATGATATAAAAAGGCTTCATTATATTTATAAAAATTCTATGGCTATAGACCCCATAGATGTTTACATTTACCTAATGCATATTGAACTATGTGAAAGTCATGTAGAATACATGTCTGGTGTTTTCTTTATAGAATATCAAGCAACCTGATCCCAATTATAAATTGCCAGTGGATCTCCCCAATGTTTTTTTTTTTTTTGAGACAAATTATCTTGTTGTTTAGCCATGATAAATGGCTTCTCTTCCAAATATTTTCACTTAAGAAATACAACACCAACATCCTTTTAAATTAGCCAGAGTTTCTGACTATATTTGAATAACTCATCTTCTTCGTATTGTTTTATTAAGGTTTTATGATGTCTTTATTTTATTCATTTATCTATTTTTTTAAAGATTTTTATTTTTTTATATATTTTTTTTTATTGGAAAGGCAGATTCACTCCCCAAGTGAGCACAACGACAGATACTATGCTGATCCCAAGCCAGGAGCCTCTTCCGGGTCTCCCACGTGGGTGCAGGTTCCCAAAGCTTTTGGCCGTCCTTGACTGCTCTCCTGGGCCACAGGCAGGGAGCTGGAAGAAAAGCGGGGCTGCCAGGATTAGAACTGGTGCCCATATGGGATCCCGGGCGTGCAAGGCGAGGACCCCAACCACTGTGCCACCGCGCCGGGCCCTATTCATTTATTTTTCATGATACAGTTTGTTAAGCTCATGAATTCTCCCTCTCAACCTACCCATATATCCTCTCCCATACTTTTTTTAAATGAAAAATACACTCTAATAAACTATGAAATTAAAATAATATGGTATAAAATTAATGATAGGGGTTGTACTGTCAGTCATACCTATAGTAAAATATAGACTGTATCTGTGAGTATTTATAACTTTGTACATATTATTTAACCACTCTAAACCTTATTTTTCTTTCTTACAAATATGGAGATCTTGTTAATAATAACTAGTTTGAAGAATAGTTAGGTAGACATATATAACACCTATCATGTGTACTTAGTTGTAAGATTTCATAGAAAAATTCAGAAGTTAAAATCTTTTTTTCTGTCTGAAGGGCTATGAAAGGGAGAGAGAAATTCCTATCCACTGATTATAAAAGCCTGTGACAGCTGGGACTCAATGGAGTGCAACTCCACTCAGACCTCCCATATGGGGGAGAAGAGTTTGAGTCCTCACTCCTATTTCCTGAGATGCACGCTGGCAGGCTGTCGGAATCAGGAGTGGCTTACTGGGTGGATAATTGGTGCACAGGTAAGTGACTGCCATTGACACCCACATCCCACATCGGCAGGTTGGCTTCCAGTTCCATCTATTCTCGTTCTGATTCAACTTCCTGTTAATCTCTACTTTGGGAAGAAATAGATTGTGGCTCAAGGTCTATTGTTGCCATCATTTGTGGGAGACCAAGGATGAATTACCAGATTCTTGTTTTTGGCCCAGCTTGGTCCAAAACTGTTGCTGGATTTTTGGAAACCAGTGTAAGAAAAATTTCCTTTTTTCTGTTCTTTTCTCTTCCTCTTCCCCTTCCAGTCTGTCTCCCTATCTCTTCCACTCTCCTTTCCTGCCTTCTTCCTGTCTCTTCCCTCAAAAAATGAGAGAAAACAGATTAATTTAAAACACAACTCACAATTATGACTCAATAAGAAACAGTGAAAATAAAAGTAACCAGGTTTTATTTTTTTTAATTGAAATTGTTATCAAAATTTTTCCACAAGACAAACATCAGGTCTGATGGTTTTCTAGGTAATTCCTTTCAAATATTTTTGAAAGAACTACTACAATCCTTCACTATAATACACACAGAATTTCAGAAATGAAAGCAAAGGAAATACTGTGCAACTCATTTTACAAAGTCAGTATATCCTGAACCAAAAACTAGACAAGACATTACATTAGAAATTCAAGTTATAGACTATCCCTTAGAAGCAGAGATACAAACAAACTTCAACAAAATTTGATATACTGCGACAATATATTAAAAATATTGTTTTTGTATATGTAATAACCAAACAACCAAAAGAGGTTTACTCCAGGAAGGCAAGAATATATCAACTGTGTAAAGCTAATCAGCATAATTGATAATATTAACAGAAGGAGAAAAACACTTTAAAAAAAGAACAGTAATAAAAATAAACAGGTTGTGATGACATTTTTGCTGTTGTCTCAGAGAAAGAATTGCATTCATGAAATTTATTCCTTCTTTTTACTTTAATTTTGAATTATAAAGATGATGATAGTGATAATGATGATGACGTTGATAATGGTGATGGTGATGATAGTGGCAACAGAAAGGATGACGATTCTCCACTCAGAAAATTTTTTGGGGCCTAGCACAGTACCTCAAATGGCTAATCATCTGCCTGTGGGACAGCATTCAATGGGGGTGCTGATTCTACTCCTAGCTGCTCCACTTCTGATCCAGCTCCCTGCTTATTAAGACCAAGAAAGCTTGGAAGATACAAGTGCTTGAACCCCTGCACCTACATGGGAGACTGGAAAGAAGCTCCTCACTCTTGCCTTCAGATTAGCTCAGCTCTGGACATTGCAACCATTTGGGGAATGAAGCAGAGGATGGAAGATGATATCTCTCTCTCTCTCTCTCTCTCTCTCTCTCTCTCTGAGGTTCTCCTTCTTTAAGCAAGTCTTTTAAAGTAAAGTAAATAAGTCTTAGGGAAAAAAAATAAGAATAAGAAGAGAAAATTTGTTTCAGAATTCAACATCCTGACTATATTTTTAGAATCTGAATGAACAGCAAAAAAAGATATTCTCAGTCAGGGAGCTCAGGTAAGCTAAGTTTAACATTTTTTCCTCTGTACCATGGCAATAAATTTATTTATTAAGACCCCATATTTGCTTAGAAGTAAATAATTTAATGTTAAGTATTTGTTGAACACTTAATCGGTGCTCACTACTTAAGATTCATCAATGAACAACAAAAAAGACCCTATCCTTGTGAATTTTATATTCTAGCCAGAAAAAAATGGATAATTACAAAATAGGCTACAAAATTACAAAATAGGCTAAGATTACAAAATAGGCTAAAAAGACATACATATGGACAAAATGCAAAATAATATATATTAGAGTGATCAAGAGGGTTGAGGGTAAGAAGAACTGAGGGCAAGGACAATTGGGTTCAAAAATAATAGTCTGTTTGATAACATCTTTTCCAAAGTGTGGCATCATAAAGCAATAAACACTTTATTATATTTCTTGCTCTAATGAGTCTTAGGCAAGATTCAGCTAAACAATTGTAATCCAGGTGGCATTAACTGAGATCACTAGATGATATTACTGGTGGTAGGGCTGTTTTGGATAGTCGCTGACACTTTGCTTACCTTTGTAGTGTTTTAGAATGCTGGCCTGAGACGCTGTCAGCTGAATCACCAGCACATGGCCCCCCTCCTTCAACGTGCCATCAGCGGAGCTGCATTCATACCCAGGAACCTTGGTTTCTAAGAATGTCCCAAGCACCAAGAAGGATAAGCTTCCCATTTCTTATGGAATTTGACTAGAAATTGGTGCAGTGTTAAAATAGTGATAGAAGTAAACAAAACTCAGGTGAAGGATCATAGATACTAATCTATCATTAGGAGGAAGATTAATGAATTTATGGACAGCTCTACAATCCATTTTCCAGACATTGGTTATCTGCACTGTTTTATCTTATAATATACTCTTATTTCCTTTCCAAATCCCTGAGCATGTCATCACTTACGGCATCAACTTCAGTCTTACTATCTGGACCACATCCTTTTCCAAACTCTCACTTCTTGCAGCCTGTAACACTGTGTTTTGGAGTGAAGGACTTGCTTTGAGATATCAGCTTTTTAAGTCTTCATGCTCTATCATTTTTCGATTAACCCTTAAAAACTTTGCTTGACAAATCCAACTTTAGCAACTGAATGTCTTGGCTTTCAAAGCTATTGCATTGGCATGAAATTTTTTTAGGAATATTTTTAGAATCTGTTCAGAAACGTATTTGCTTTTATCACTGTGAGCAAATTGATGTCATAATGGGGGAAACTTGGGATAGAGAAATCGTTTGTTGTATGAGACATTGTGGGCCCAAAATTCTATGTTGAGTGAATGACTTGTTCTTTCACTCAAGAATGGTAATTTTTTTTCATTAGGTGGTATTGATGCAACCTCCAAAGTAGCTTTATTATTCTGTAATTTACCATATTGGAAAACTCTTTTAAAGATCTCCAGTCCATTAATAGTACATTGTATTTTTAATATAAGGAGTTATAAGTTTCATATTAATCAGATAATATTATGCAGAGTTACCAGTAGGTGGGGATGTTGAATGATACTTTTCTGAGTCACATCCTATTCTTAACATAAAAGAAAGGCAGATCTAACGATCTGTCCTTTGTTATGAAATAATATTTTTGTAACATAATTTTTAAAAATTATAAATATTTTAGAAGTTTTATAATAACTGAAGGTGACTGGATTCCACCTATAATATGAATTCTGGGGCTCACGATGTTGTCACTTTAGCTTTTTGCCTCTGGTTTCTCTCGTGGGCTTCAAATCCAAGAGAGCATTAATAATAGACCGCAGCACGATGAGAGTAGAATACAAAATATGAATGATACATAAATGTCTGTTTGACCCCTGTGCTGAAAATACAAGGGTAGTGATTCTTTTTCAGTTAATAATTGCTACTCAGCCAGTACTGCCTGGTGCCAGGTACTAAATTAATTGCTTTTCGTGTTTGGTCTTAAATAATCCCCAGAAGGTCAGCATTGTTAGCCATATCCTTTAAACAAAAACAAAAAAAAATGAGAAATCCAGCTACTTGGTTTCGATTAATAAATGATGGAGACATAATTTGAACTTAACCTTGTCTGACCCTCCTGTTTTGTTTTTGCCTATCTGATAACACATTTCATTTGTTTTAAGAAAAAATCCTCTCAGCCTGGATTATCAGCCATATTTCAATGAAAAAAAAAATACAAGTAATGTGTGTGTTTTGTCAAAATTAATACCGACTGAAGAACTAGGACTTAAAACATAACAGCAAAAGCCCTTGGTGCCAGATTGCAGCATTTGCTCATCATTTCAAAACACAGCTTTCACTTCACTTCATTGTGCGATTAGGTCAATATCCATAGACATGTCCAATTTAACAGCAGCATTTTCCTGATTTGTTCATTATTTCATGGACAAGTTACTCTTACTTTAAAAGAGACATTGTTGAGTCTTCTTAAAATTTATTTGACAAGCAGAGAAGAGAGAGAAGGAGCAAGCTTGCAACAGTCACTTTATTCTCTAAACTCTAGTAATCAAGGGTCTAGAATGCTACAGAAGGCTAAAAAAAACAAACAAACAAAAAACACTAGTTCATGTCACAAAACTATTTTTACAGAGGTGAAATAGTTGTGTTGGCCAAATGGCAACGACTGACAATGGGTAAGGAAGGTCTCCAGGCTGCTGGAAACATACAATATCTTAATCTGCATGTAAATAATTTGCCAACATTCACCAACGTATACACTTAAAGTCTGTGTTCTTATCTGTACATGTATTACACCTCAGTAAATTACAGGTTAATTTGGTACATCATAATGAAGATACAGAGCACAACCAACAGAAAATATGATGTTCAATCACAGAAAATCATTTGTCTACAAAGGCACAGAAGAGATTCATGATAAACTTCGCCAAATGCAATTGTCAGTGTTCAAACCGACAGAGAAAAATGTTTTCCTTCTCATGCAGTAAAGAAGGAAGAAAAGTTTTTTCAAACCAGAATGATTTCATCCTTCCTGGCCTCTATAATTCAGTATTTCTGTGCTCTGATGCATTTTTATTTTTGTTTTTATTTATTTATTTAAAGATGGATCTTAAAAGATCAACAATTTTCTGCTTGTAAGAAACAAGACTAAAGCAAAATGGCACAAAAACATTGGAAACTATGGGAATTTATACAAGATGTAAAATATTATCCAGAAGAAAAATGGTGGTATGATTTTAGTATCAGATAATGAACTAATAAAATGTAAAGCCCATAGTGAAAACAGGATTCTCAGGAATAGAGATGTTTGCATAATGGAATAAATACAGAAATACTTTCAGAATTTCACCATGACATTAAAAATTTTTATTTTACAAATATTTTTGTAAACTTACATGTCTACATTTACTTGGAGGCACTCCCAGCAATGAAATTGCTGGACAATATGCATAGGGATATTTTAAACTGTAGCATATACTGCAGTTTTCCAATGTTTCCATATTTT